CTCTCTCTCTCTTTTAATTTTCTCTTTTCCCTCCCTTCGCCGCAGTCAACTTTTGTAACTATGTTGGTTCCCTAGGAAGGTAGGGAAATTAGATAATTAAAGTAACCTTGGCTTGTGGGAAAACTGAGGGAAAACAAATCCAAGGCAAACACGCTGAAGCCATGCCAGCAAGCTGGATGCAGCAGGGGAGGGGATTTTGGACTGCGAGTTTACCCACCCCTCAATCTATTTGGAGTCATTTACATTTCTTCTCCTTCCACACACTTCAGTCTTACAGTCTTCTGAAATTTAAAACCCTGGGCATGAGAATGAGTCCTGGGAAAGGAGAATGATAATCTCTTGAAAGCTGGAGCCAGCCCTCAGTCCTGTGAATAGCTGTGGAAAATTCCTACGTTCTAGGCAAGAGACAAAGAGTCTTCGTCCTTCAGGATTTGACCTCCTGCAAATCTGGTATTCGTTCACATTAGCTAGAAAGCTGAGATTTAGCTACAAATTTCCCATCTCCTTTTGTGTCCACGAGTCTGCAGCCATGCAGCCACGCCTAGTGAGTCCTGGCTATGTAGTCCGAGCCTAACTCAACCCAAAGGAAGAAGGCTCTCTGGGCACAGATCAGATTCCACAAGATACTGGCTGGGGATTACCATAACAAAAATAAGGTCACCACCAGGCTTTTCTGTGACAAACACAGTTTGCACAATGTTATACATGGGCTGAGGTCAATGTTACCTGTGTGGTGGTGCTCTCCCAGAGAACACATGCCCACTTGAGACCCCTGGTAACCAACAGGAACCTTACCTGTGATTCTCCCCAGCTTCCCATCATACATCTCTCCAACAAATCCAGATATGTGGGCTCCTAGGCTTACTCCAATCATGTAAATGTTGTCCAGAGACGCTCCTTTGGCCTAGAATTTCATTAATAAATTGTAAGAGTTCAAGAAATTGACCACACTTGCAGAGATTTCCTGTTTACTTTGAAGGAATGTTCCTAAATACTTTTTGTCTATTCTCACTTGGGCTATTTTGTGTGTGGATAGATATGCATGCACATCTATACACATATGTGTAGGGGTCACAGGTCAAAGAGTCAGGTGTCCAACTGGAGAGATAGCTCAGTGGTTAGGAATACTTGTTGCTTTTGCAGAGGAACCAGGTTTGATTCTCGGCACCCACATAGCGGCTCACAACTGTATGTAATTCAGTTCCAGGGGCTACAATGCCTTTTTCTGACTTCTCCTGGTAAGAATACATGCATGGTGCACACATATGCATGCAGGCAAAACATTCATATACATTAAAAATAAAAAAATAAATAAATCTTTCTTTTTAAATTATATGTCTCCCTCAATTGCTCCCCACCTCACTTTCTGAGACAAGGTCTCTCACCGAGCCTGGAGTCAGCTGATTTGGTTTGGTCAGACTAGCCAACAAGCCCTGGGGAGTCTGCTGTCTCTGCTTCCATGGGTCAGGAATTACAGTCATGCACTGTTCAATGCTGTGCCAGATTTTTCATATAGGTTCTGGGGGTTGAAATCAAGTCTTCATGCTTGCACACCAAGTGTTTATCAATGAAGCCAACTCCTAAGCCCCTACTGTCTCATTTGAATGTCACAAAAGGGCTGGAGGGGTAGCTCAGGTGGTAGAGCACTTGCCTGCCTCCTAAGTTATAAATAAGCCTTAGGGTCAATCCCCAGCATGGCAGAAAAAGAGGGGAAGTTATAGCATCCTGCAATGCCCATAAGACTCCTTTAATACACAAATAAGGAAAGTGAAGCCCAGAGTTGAGGTCATCTGACCCAGTGGGGAGGTCACAGAGCAGGATTCAAAACAACCTGCTAGCCCCAAATTTGTGTTTTTTATTGTCTCCACTCCCGACTCTGCTGGATGTCAAGCAGAGACATGTTTAGAGCTTCCAGATAGGGGAAGGGATGATAAAGCACTTCCATGAACTCCTACTGGTGTCACTATCCCAGGGAAGAAAAGGTGAGGGAGGGCAGACCTCGTTGATCTCAGGCTGTGGGCAGCTTGCTCTGAGCCACCCAAAGTTAATCTGCTTGCTGAGGAGCTCACATAAGACTCACATCACCACCACATACAGTGGTCACCATGTGGAGGGTCTCTTTGAAATTGCTCTGACTTCATGTGATTGTTTTGTTTTTCAAGACATAGCTTCTCCTTGTAGACCTGGCTATTCTGGAACTTGCTCTGTAGACCAGAATGGTATCAAACTCACAGAGGTCTACCTGCTTCTGTTTTCTGAGCCCCTGGGATTAAAGACTTGTGCCACCACAAGCTGGCTCATGTCACATCTTTGTTATGTTAAGAGGGGGGAGGTGCGGCTCATGTGAACACTCTCTAAATAAAAGCTAAGGTCTGCCTTGGGAGGCTTTCTAAAAACAATGACTGTGCCACCACCATGTGTTTTCACTGTGGTTGGGAAGAACCACCTGGACATAAGTAGCTTGTATTTTAGATGAACAGCTACACAAGTTGAAGGAGATCCAGGTGTTTAAACTAACAACTCTAGGCAGAGCCTCTCCTACTCAAAGGCACCCTCATAGTACTCACAAAATGACACTCCTTTCACAAGCCATTTGCCATTGGCTACAGATTATGAGGACTTTAAGATCTACAACATTTAAAATGCGAACATTGCTCCATGCTCCTTTGCTACGGGATGGACAACCTGCAGAGCCACACCCTCTTCCCTGGGTTTCTTCAGGTTCGCAAGAAGTTACAAAATGTTACAAAATAGCCCCCCATCATCCAACTCAGTAATGCCTCCAAACAAGCCACCAAGGTCATCTAAGACAAGTCTTTCTTACCAACATCTGGTCGATAAATTCCTTCAAAATAAGAGCTACTTTTCTGGTCTTGCTAGAAGCGTGGGGGTAGATCACAGTCGTCGCCCCTCGGTTCCAATCAACAACCACCACATTCATCTCTTGTACACTGATCAAACTCTGTACCAGCTCCTCCATCCAAACCGGAGGGGAGCCTGTTGGCCGGAAACCGTGGATTATAAAAGTGGTTTTCTTGGTCACATTTAAGCTCCCCAGAGCTGTGGAGTTGATGACTTGTGCACAGGTCTGGTCTCTCTGTGTGTAGAGCATCAGTCTCACACTTAGTCCTGTGCCTACCACGGCACTGTGGAAGCTCAGTCTGGTGAAGGATGGGCATGTTTCATCTGTATCTGGAAATAAGAATTAGATGACACCATGCAGGGCCTCCTAAGCAAGGAAGTACCCATTCTTTACACTCTTAGATTCCTCACAGCACCCCACAAGAGGCGAGTGAAGCTAGAAAAGTCATACTTAGTTCAGAATTTCTAAGTAGTGATTCCTGGTTTCTCTGAACATCTTTCTCCAGACTCCTTCAAGGTAGAAAGCAGAAGTTAGCTCAATGGTGCTTCTACAGCCTGAAGTATATCCTCACTCTCCAACTCCCTCAGAACCTGTGAGTGCCTCACAGCACAATGAAATCATCTTTCAGGGGCTATTCTGGGTACTGGGTGTGGGGTTGTCTACCGTGTGAGATCCCATTCTCCTTGAATGGTAATTTCTAGCTGTGTATCCTCGGAGAGATAGAACACAGCCAGAGTCTCCATGGTCTCTTGTGTAGAACTGTCTCCTGAGAGGATGGTCAGAGAATGGTCTGTCCTATTCTGAGCATCTGAAAATGCAGACCATGTCAGCTGGTGCTGCGCCCTTTTCTTCTCAGCTCCTCAAGCTTTCCTTTCAAAGCTTCACCCTGCAGAACAGCTTTGGAAGAAAGTTGGACTCTAGGAAGGGATAGCACCAACCTGAAAAGTCTTCTTGTTGTCTGATACAGGATCTTAGTACGAAACCCAGTCCAGCTCAGACTTACTACGCAGCCCTAGCTTCAACCTTGCAATCCACTTGTCTCACCCACCTAATTCTAGGATTACAGCTATGCCCTGCCATGCCTGGCTTGCAGCATCTTGCTGGGAATGTCACTCAGAAGGACAGTCACTAGGGAACAATCAGTAACAATGCCATGGAGAAACCGGACAAGGCCTTGCTTAGCCATCATGCTGTGGTACTCAGGGCTCAGGGGCCACAATATCATTGTTCCTGTGCTGACACTGGAACTGAGACCCAAGACGGACCAGGAAACTGACAAGTATAAAATGGGAAACAGGATCTGTCTTCCCAACAAAAGATCATGGAAGTAAACAGTGCAGGGAGGCTATGGATGTATTCTAAATTATAGGAGATCAGAGACAGGATATGCTTGGGCAATATTTGAACCTAGGGTAGACCTTGTGGTAGAAGGAAAATGCAATCAAATAAACTAAGTCAGGAAAATTGGTATCTAGGCAGTCAAGTAAAAGTGTGGCCTCAGTTTTCAATTCATGGAGACAGTCACACTGTGGTTATTCTGGTGATTTGAATAAGAATGGCTCTTTTTTTTTCTTTCTCTCTCTTTTTTTTTTTTTTTTTTTTTTTTGGTTTTTCCAGACAGGGTTTCTCTGTTTAGCCCTGGCTGTCCTGGAACTCACTCTGTAGACCAGGCTGGCCTCGAACTCAAATCTGCCTGCCTCTGCCTCCCAAGTGCTGGGATTAAAGGTGTGTGCCACCACCACCCGGCAGTTCTCCTTATTTTTAACTCTGAGAATTTTGTACATACTCCCCACTCTTCTAACAAACTCCTCAGAGCAAGAATGCCGAGCAAGAATGGCTCTTATAAGCGCATATATTTAAATGCTTAGTCACCAGGGAATGACAGTATTTCAGAAGGATTAGAAGGTGTGGCTTTTTGGAGTGGGTGTGGCCTTGTTGAAGGAAGTGTGTCACTAGGGCTGGGCTTAGAAATTTCAAACAGACACACACACTCGGCCTGGGTCCCCCCTCCCCCCCTTCCTACCCCCTCCTCCAATCTTTCTGCCTACAGATCAGGGGGTAGCTGTCAACTACATCTCCAGCACCTTGCCTGCTATGTCTGCCCCCATGTTCCCTGTTGGGATGATAATGGAGAAACCTCTGAAACTGTAAGCCAGCCCCAATTAAACACTTTCCTGTAAAGGAGTTGCTGTGGTCACGGTGTCTCTTCACAGCAACAGAATGGTGAATCAGAGAGTCATAAAAGGGAAAATCTCAATTCTTAGAAAATATAACTAAAGCATTTAAAGGTAAAGGGACAAACTTACTGACAAATGATTCAGAAAATATAAACAGCCGGGCGGTGGTGGCGCACGCCTTTAATCCCAGCACTTGGGAGGCAGAGGCAGGTGGATTTCTGAGTTCGAGGCCAGCCTGGTCTACAGAGTGAGTTCCAGGACAGCCAGGGCTACACAGAGAAACCCTGTCTCGAAAAACCAAAAAAAAAAAAATATATATATATATAAACAGATAGCTAACTGACGATGAAATCTGTGTGCCAAAATGTTAAGAATAAATCAATGTCAGGCTGCAGGGTGGACTCAGTGGTTGAGCACAGGCATCCCCAGGGCCCAGAAGTTCTACAAAGAACCAATAAGTCAATCTGTACAAAGGTTTGCTTCTGTTCTGTGTGCTCTCCTACTCTTGTAGCTTTTCTAAAAATGTTCAGTTATTTCCAAGTAAACTTAAAAGGAAAGAACAAGGCCAAGGTCCATCAGTGACTG